TATGTGTACTCGTCAATCAGTGTTTTAGACCCTTTATCTCTGTTACATACAGGTACATGACTTGTTCCTAGTTAAAATTTTATTTCTATTATGTTTTTATTCTCTTGTATAATGTAGTTGTGTTGCATTTTGAATAAATGAATTATCTTTTAAATTTATATCTCGAGGAAATTTACTGTATTTATCAATAAATATCAGACCTAAAAATTAAATTTTCGAAACCGCGCGAAAAGCACTGTTTTTGTCATACGCCGCCATTACGCCGCGTATGACGTCACGCAAGTAAATAAACAAACCTCATTAAACTACAATCGTCAACAAGAAGCCAAAACCAGCGTCTAACGTCATCGGAGTTGCAAACATTTACATGGCAATTTCAGCTCAGATAAAATGTTAACTAATATTCAATTTAATTTTGTGTAATCTGCAAAAATAAAGTGAAATATCTTATAGGATTACTTACCACAATTTTTATTATATTTTTAACGTTGTTAACCTATTTTCTCTGTTTTTTAATATTTTTATCATACCTACTTTAAGGGACAGTAAGATACAACTTTCAAAGCTCAGCAAATGTCGCTCAATAACATAACCAGAACCAATAATATTCAGAATAATTTAAATAGGTATCATACCATCTGGCGACCCACCAATATCCACGCGCCTGACCCCGTTTGGTTTAACGGATATCTCACGGGGAGTATTTTACACCTTATTGTTATTGTAACAATACTATCAATTTTACTTTCGGTCAACTCAGGATTGGTATGCTCTGAGTAAATAAAATTTCCGTCATATTAGAGGAAAATATAAAAAAAAAAGTATTGCAAAAGTAAACTATTTTATTTCATTTCACTTCCTATCACAATGTTTATACTAAAAGCAAATTCTGTATAATAGAAAGAGTTGTGCTTATTGGGTACATAGTTAGGTACCTATTCTTATTAGGTAATGTTAAACTTAACGGTATAAAACCTATATTGTGGTTGCAAGCCAGTGCATAATAAAAACATGAAATTTCAACATTAGTATATATTCCGGTTTATAGGCGATAGCCAGTTGCCAGATTCATTAAGCGATTTGAGTTTACAACGCAAATTCGTTGTGAATCGAAACGTAGTTCTTGTACTTTAGTATTAGTAAACTTCAACTTAAACGATTATACAAGTAATAAAAGCTAGTAACTGCCATAATTTTCATTCAACAATAATAATAGAACTAATTTCCGCAATTGTCATTAGCGTCAACATACATTTTTAAACCACAAGTGAAACATTCGAATTTTACTTATTTAGTTTTTTTTTTAATTTGGAACTAAAACAATTAAAAACAGTGATTTAAAATTTGTAATATATAAAACTATGAAACAATAATAAAACGAAATTAATAACACAATTTTCGAAACCAACGTGTCTTCAAAACATGTTGTCATTCAACAATATCGCGTCATACCTCATTGGTACCATTCGTAATAACGTAACCATGATTACCACTTAAGGTTGCCATTTTATAAAATAAGTAAAGATCAAGATCAAATCTTGTTGCTTTCAAATTGAACGTTTGACGATTGATGGATGATAGCAAACACATATCGCACATCTAGATCTAAACTAAGACAATTCATAAAGCTAATGTGGAGGTCTGACAATACATTTCTTTACGTGGCAGGAGCGCGACCACTGTTGATTCAACAAAAGAAAGCTAAAGTTATCTAGCAGCTCTTCCCCGAAACTTTATTGAATTTGTTATGTTGTATAGATGCGTATGCGTATCACCGAGTATTTGAATATTGTACTAAGTTAAAACTAACTCAAATTTTTGAGTTGTCTCAGTTTAGATCTAGGTGTGCGATATTATTTATGGCCGCGTCCACGTGCCTCAGTTGCCATAATAATGTTGTAACTCAGTTAGTGGTCATACGTTGAATGAAGTATTTGTTCCTAGTCATATTTTCAATTTTTGACATCGTCAAACTCTCCTAGAGTTAGTTGCCATATGTTAATATTAATTATTTGACTGATTAATTATAACTCCCTTTAATAAGTATATACTAAGTAGTCATTTTTGCCAACCATATCAAAGTTTCTTGTGACTTTTACAAGGAAAAAAATTGTGCCCTTAAGGTGAAACAAATAGTTCATTAATATGATAATTTATAATCAGAGGTCGGAATTAGGTAAAGTTATTTATGTACTTGCATCGAAATGTTGATATTAATGTGGACCTTCCCTACAAATGTGGCAACATCGCGCGTATTGGTATTTTGCAACTTTGGACATCCGATGTCATTGATGTAAGTTTGGCAACGTCGTGCGTGCAGTAGTTTAAATTGTGTAAAAGTAAATAACTTTTTATTTAAAAAATCACGGGATTTTTTCTGCTCTTTAAAATTAATCTCGGGATTTGAGGCATATCCACTTATTCTTTCGCTGTATGAAATCAGTGTAAGTACATGAATAACTCTACCTAATTCCGACCACTGTTTATAATACATAACAAATATTGATTTAAATCCTATTTAACATTAAACAAAAACATAAAAAAAACTTATTCCACTCCGTTCTTACATTTTTAAAACATTTTTCTAAAGCTATAATAAAACCTGTTAAATTAACAAATAAATCAAATAAAGGCTAACTCCTAACTATTAAGGATAGAAATATGTATTATTAAAACGTCTTATAAAACATCATCTTTTAAATATTTGTTCAGCCTACATAATATTCGATATAAATATTATATACAATAATATAAAAAAATATTTGTTTAATCTATCATAGTCGTTATTTTGAACTAAATGCACTATTATGTACTTTGCACTGGAAATATTAATAAACACTTAAATATTTTTGTTGGGCGGATTTTCAAAATATTATTGCAATACAGAGTCTACTTACTGTTGTTATTATTAAACATCATTTAAATCAGGATTCTCAAATTATTTAGGACAAGAGACCCCTTCTCCAAAATGAACTAATACACCCAAACAACTTTAACATAAAAATTACTGCAATCCTATCTCTATTTTCCTATTGATATCATCAAAAATTAAACGGGTGGTGAGTAAACTTGACATAATTTTCTCATCAAATATAAACAAAATAAATAGACAACAACAAAAAATACAGAAATTTATACAGTATCTTGAAAGTTTCGAATAAGAACACTTGTAATTAATAGGGGTTGATTTTGTGACGTCGTCGTCGATCTCCAAAATCAATATTAAGTATCGAACATAATTAATATCAACCAGTTTAAGAATCCCTAATTTAAATCATAAATATGCAAGTCTTAAAAAGATTTAAATAAGATCGATGTTTTGGTCGAACAGTTACTTACATTCAAATTACTACCCAGGAATGCAACATTTAGAATGAATAATAAACACTATGTATCAGGGTTCGCGTGGGATTCGCTGATAAATATCAACGGATATATTGAATTGACATTTATAATATTGTTTGTTAGTTTGAGTATTGAGTGTTGACTCAAAATTTACCAATCCAATGTAAAATCCAACGTGGCAACATTGGCCCGAACTTACTAGAAATTACGGTTATTCCCCGTAATATGAAGGCGAACTAGGAACGGTTAGTTTTTATTTTTTCTTAAAATTTAATGCTTATGCATGATATATACCGGATATTTTGATATTTATTATAAATATCGGATTTTTGCGAACCCTGCTATGTATAACAATACATACATAATATAAAAGTAGACATAATATTACGATACATATCAAATGGGGAAACCCATTTCTACAACTACTGCTAAAATTATTCTTATCTACCATTAAAACCCCGATCTTCTTAAATTAAACAAAGTTGACTAGTTTTAATAAATTAACCATTATATTAGTTTCTTATGGTTTAAAGTGAGATAGGTATAAAAATGTGGTGCGATGTGTGTATAATGATCACTTTAGAGATACAATATTTATGAAAGTGAAACTGAAAATTAGTATAAAAGGTGTTAGTATCATATAATGTACTCTTTATTTTTTAAATTCTATTAAAATTATTTTATCAAATCACACAAAGTGCAAGACAGAAATAAACATATTAGCATATTAATAAACTTTGGTATATAATTTGCCAAGGTGACTTTTTTTCTTTGCAAAGGAAATGTACCGCTAATTAGTGTTGAATTATAAATGGCACTAGTGTTTTAACGAATAGGTATTAATAATTATTTAATGCTCAATTTTTGTAATAGGAGTCATAAATTACAAACTAATATGTTTTCCCGAGGGTGAATTTTCAAATATTTATATTTTACGCTAAAAATATCAAATTAAAAAAAGCAGTTCCTAAATTAATTTTCATCCCAATCAAATTATTTTGTATTAACATTAATATATTTAATAGGTTTACAGAAATAACTAAATAAAACATATAAATTTAATTACGTAAACTCATAACACAATAAGTTCAATCTTATCATCATACAGAGTAGTAAATGTTCCTTTTTTAGTTATTGTAAATTAAAATTTCACACTGAGGAAATGTCTTTGGTTTTAATACTTAAAAGTATAATTTTGAAAACGAACTACGAAATTATGTCCCTCCTCTTGTCAAATAATGTCACATTTTGTCGACCCTCATGTTTCACGTAGTTTATGAATAACCCCAAATGTATTTATCCCGATATTTTTCTGTCCAAAGCTACAAGCGGAAATTCTACATCGAACATTTGTTGTAGTTATCTAAAGCAATATTAAAACTGACTTTATAGCGAAAATTTTATGTTCTATATATTTAATATTATGAAATTTTTACTTTTGCACTTTATCAAATTTCAAAATCTTTCATTCCATAACACGTACATTAAAATAGAACCTATCGTTACTATTCTATTATTATGATTTGTAAATGCTACATCACATTCCGATTTGTTCTCATTTTCAAAAACATGTAGTCGTTTGTTCGTAATGTGGAATATCGAGTTTCACAGACTACTTTAAATCTTATCTGACCTTTACGTTTTCAACACTAATTTCACGAAAGTTCTCCGATTGGTGCATTCTGGAGCCACAAATCATGAATGAAGCAATAGAGGTCATCGCTAACTGCCACCTAGAAAAAATAACACAAGTGAGATTAATATCATAATATATACGCTATTTAAAAAAATATATACAAAAAAAAAACGAAAAATAAATGAAACAAGACAAATATTTTATAACAATAATTTAATTTAATAAATCTAAACGTTTCCATTAAAATTTAAATGTACCCAATAGTATTTTTTTGAAGGTAGCTATACTCTTAATTAGATATATTGTAAATGTACCGATTATAAAACGATTGCAAAACCGAATTGTCGTCGACTAGCTATTATGAAAATAACGAATCGGTTGTACCTACAATCTATTAACCGTTCTATTACATGATATAGATAAAGATATGGTAAACATATATAATATTAATAACAGATGAAAATGAGTGAGTATTACCTTGTAAGGTGTAGGGTTAAGATTTCTCTTGATATCTTGTCGCAGTGTGCGTAGTGATGACTGTACTCTTTCACGAACCTCTAATAAGGGTTTTGGTTTGACGCAGACGTGGCCATCCTTCCAGCATTCCTGAAATTATTTGATTCAATACTCTCAATCAATCAATAAAATATTTTTTAAACGATATAATAGAGGCAATAGTAATCCATGATTAAACGAACTTACCAAGTGAAGTTCTATCATAATTATACGAAGCGCCTCGTTCGAAGAGATTAGTATTTATTTGATTAGATTATATTACTAGTAGTATCGCATATGTGTCACTACTCCGGCACTATAGTTGAGATTTCTTTGCATTTGCTTTTTTTTTATTATTATTATTACGAGGGTAGTTCTCATCTTCTTAGTCGATACCGTTCCCTGCCATCTTCATTAAGTTTAGAGATAGATCTGGTTTATTGATGTATTTCCGGAGAACTTAGTATTGGGAATAATGTTCACAGGGTTGGGCGGGTTTACTAATCTCTTCGAACGAGGCGCTTCGTATAATTATGATAGAACTTCACTTGGTAAGTTCGTTTAATCATTAATTATACTTCGCGCCTCGTTCTCGAGATTAGTATTTATTTGATTAGATTATATTACTAGTAGACTTTGAGAGTGTTGAAAATAGATTTAGGAAATATCATCAATAAATGACGATAACTTGCTTTTTATATATATAAGTATTTATTAATTATTAACAAAAAAAGAACATAAAGAGAATTGTTCAATTTTGGCTTTTGGTGGACAAGCTAATAAGTAAAAAATATGTAAACAGTAAATTATTATTAAAACTGAAAGAAAAATTATTTTTAATACTCTCGTCATGGGAAACTAAACATTAAAAATATCACAAAAAAAAAGTATTTTTTGGATTCGGATGTGTTTTGTTAACATATTTCACTGTGTTTCCATATCAATAAATGTTATTGAAGTACTATTACTAATAGTATCGATTAATCGATAAGTTTTAACTTTAATAAAAATAAAAGTAATTAAAGTATTTATATATTAATACATATACATTAGGTAATCTTTTGCAATATCATGTATCATATATATTAAAAACATAAGAAATAATCCTTTTCGGTTAGATATATAAGTTAATTTACACAAACTATTGATTACTTTTTAATTGATTAATAATTCTTATAGGGCAGCACCATTTCACTTTTGTCAACAAAGACATTTGAGTGATAATGATAATTCTTACGTTTTGATTTTGTTGTTACTTTCGACCAATTTATTTATTAACCTCTCGAAATGATGACCCGGCTATACCTATGGACACCAAACCAAGCACAAGTAGAGGACATCGTCGGCAGCTTTGTATAAATTGTGAAAGATCTATATTACGTACTAGATCACATCTGCAAAAAATATCCGTCAAAGAAACACATTAGTAATATAATTATTAATTGGATATCCCCACGACAGGTAGGATTATAGTTATATTTATTTATTTTGATTATTTTACCATAATTAAGCTTCCTGTATGACAAGTAAAACATTAATATATCGCTGCCCTATCGTTTAAGTAACATTTTGTTGACAAATAATTTAATATTATATAATACTCTTTAGGTGTATGGCAGATCCATATCGCGTCTGTCATCCATGTTAGCAGCAAGCAGATATAATATTCCGGAACCTATATAGATCATTACCTGATTATAAAAGAGCACCTGATTCACAAGTATATTGTTTTGTTCCTGGTTGCGACTCACCACAGCGACTGACCATTCCCACATGGTATCAGGTAAAATTGTTTATTATTTTTGCCTTATTATTGTAAAAATAGTGAAACTAGTTTGTGAGCTTTGTGCCTCTTATCCTTACTTATATTATAAACTAGAAAAATTTGATTGTTAGTTGAGCTTGTTAACAAACTTCGAAACTACAACTGATGTAAAAAAAATCCTTTTATATTTAGTAAAAAATCTCCGTTAACTAGTAAGTAAAGAAGCTCCGTTTGTTTCTTCTTGATTAAAATTCACATTTCTTTCACGTTTTTGTTTTTCCATTATTAATTAACAAATACGAAAATAATACACAAAGAAAAGTTTAAAAACTGAAAAGCGTCTTAAGCACAAAATATCAACAAAGCAAAACAAATGATAGTTGCGTTTCGTTTCTGTAAACACGTAGCTAAGTATACGAATATCGTATTATTTCATTCTAGAATCATAAAATTATAATTCAAAATATGTAAAGTATAAGTATAAAAAGTTTACTTAAATATTATTGAACACAAAAAATAATATTAATTAAGTTTTAAAAATGATTTTTGATTGACGATAATTTGGGTCGTAGTATTGAAACGCAAAAAAGCGACGTTGCCGTTCCGTCAACTAATAAGTGGCCGATAACTTATCTGCCAGATAAATTATCTAGCAGTTTGATGGTGAAACAGAAAAAAGTTAACAGCAACCTTTATCCAGTAGATAGCGTTAACTATCAGATAACTATCTGAAACTTTATCAGTAACCGGTAGTAATTACGAAATTTTGATACACTGATTTATTTATTTAATGGTCAATAATTGATTGGGCTAATGATGTACAACCATGATTATGAATAGGCCTGTTGTAAAATTGTGCGAACACGGTAGAGTTGCCCCTCCAGCCCGCAGTATTACGGATCGCACTGACGGCTTTTTTAATACCTATAAACAGAGCATCAGATTTTATTAAGGGAGTTTGTCTCATTAATATAACATAGTAGTGTTTTTGCTGGACACACATTTGGCCTACTATTGAAAAATGGTAGATAAAGTATTGGTTTCTCACGACTTGGTTTTGAGTCTTAATAATTTGTGGTATTTTAATAACAACCTGACTGTGAGATATGTGTATGTTTTTGATTTCGATTTTTGACAACGTCTGCATTCTATGTGCCGTAGTTAATGCCAGTAAGGTTAATGTCTTTTTAGTCAATTGCTCTAACGTTAGGTCCTCATTTGGGAACCATTGGCTTATCTGATCTAAAACGCAATTCGTATCCCATGTAAAGTTATACTTTGGAAGGGGTGGTTGAAGACGAAACACACCCTTAAGAATCTCTGAACTCTGTCATCTTTACCTATGTGTGATCCTAATAAAAAAGATAAGGCAGATCTGCATGAATTCAATGTACCTAATTGACCACCATCGTTAAACAACACAGTAAGGAAGTAAATAACGGTAGGGACTGAAGCTGTAAATACGTCAATGGAATTATTATTGCAAAAGGTCCACCATCTTTTTTTTTTTTTTTTTAAGTATACGTCATATTGACTGAGTGAATTAGGGATAATGAGGCTAACATTATATCCAAGGAGGAAGTTGGTAAGCTCCTTCTTGATAACGCGTTCCTGGTAAGGTTGCTGCCACCAGGGTAATCGATTCGTGAATCACTTCGGGAATGTATTCAGTAGCGACGTCGTCCCTGTGTTTGAGACGGTGGCGGGCGGCGGTGGTGGCGGCGGCAGCGGTTGCGGCCGCGGCCACTGCCTTGGGGAGGTAATCTGCGCGGGAATGCAGGCTCGCGACTCCTCTGCGATGGGCCTGGTTGCCTGTACGCCGGCCCGGGAGCTTTCCCGTTTAACTGATTCTGATTAGATATTTTTTGCCGTTTACTTATATTTTTTTGTAGAAGGGTCAACCTTTAATTCGATTCCAGACTTGTTTATTGATTTTACTGTCATAAGAGTTTCAGTCAATGTTTCGCCGAATAAAAATGAATCGATCTATTTTAATGAAAACATTATAAAGTTTCTTCTAGTAACTGAATCGCTATGTTGAATATCGCACAGTAAACGACTGCGGTCCATTAGCTAAAGCAGTTATTCTTTATCCTTTTCCTTAGAGTTAAGATGAGCAATAATTATTTCTCCAAGACAAGCAATAGCACTGGCCATTTGCGTTTGTTTACCCTCTATGCCTTTGTCCCTCTTAAGAGTATTTTCAAGTATGCCAGCCTTGATTTCAGGGTTAAGTTTTGGAGCACTAATAAGAGAGCAATTAGCAGCAATTGGGCACTTCGCTATCAGCTCCTTACGGATATCCTTATTAAGCCCCTCTATGGTAATATGAGTTAGTCGACAAGCGAGTTATGTCGGATATCATTACCGAGCTTCTCTAAGTGCGAAGGATCTTCGCCGAGAATTTAAAGGATATCGGTGTCCAGATCATTTTCGTTATGGACCCCTTCTTGGGGCCGTAACTCTGACTCGACAGGTGGTTCGTTAACGGTCGTCGCGTCGACACAGTCATCCTCAGTGTATAGTATAAGTTTTGAATGTCACTGATACCAATCATGGATTGTGGATCATCGTCATAATGAGGTTGTTCTAATAACCAATCACTCGGCACCATAGGTGGGGTGGCAGAAAGATAAGAAAATCGTTTGAGATTTTCATTCATATTATGACTATGACGATCATAGTCATCCATAAAAGTATGCGACGAATCAACCCCAACGGCAGTTCAGGTGCATACTTTTTGTTTTAACGTAAATACGTTATAGTCTGATAGGTACGATATGTACAATAGCAGTTTTAGATAACGATAGTTATCTTGTCAAAGTTAGGTAGATCCCCAATGGATTGAACGCTAACTGATTTACTGAATGCGTTGAATAAGCCCCAATGACTTTTCTGATTGCATTCCGTACCCATAAATTCGGGCACAAGTCACTAACTGAACTTTCCTTATCACATAATTTTTGTTCTAATTTACGCATTTTCTTTTGAGGATGTTTTAACTCTTCTTCACATGTTCTAACTTTCGTACGTTTCGGCATTTTAACGATCTGTTATACACGTTATTGGGAATACGACCGGAGCAGTCGGGCACTATAAAGCGAATGAAGATGGCAGGGAACGGTATCGACTAAGAAGATGAGAACTACCCTCGTAATAAAAAAAAAAAAAAAAAAAGCAAATGCAAAGAAATCTCAACTATAGTGCCGGAGTAGTGACACATATGCGATACTACTAGTAATATAATCTAATCAAATAAATACTAATCTCGAGAACCTGAGGATAATAAAATGCAGTTAATATCATTAAGTATACCATTTTTAAATAAATTAATTACTTCAGCATTTTTGCTTTAAAAAGGTAGCAGATGGTTTGACTTTATACAATATAGCATTATGGTATACTTTTATAAGAAAATTATGGTATATTTTATTCCGAAGTTCAGTTAGCCCTAAAGCCATAAAGCTTAAAAAGAGCCATAAAGCCATCTGTCCAGTGACAGAATGTAATCCTGATTTCTTAATATAAAATTACCTTATATAGACGTTCTACTTTGCTCGGAATGACATAGGCTCTCTTCGATTCCTGAAACGGATGTCGACAGAGTACTTTTTGGCCCACCTCAGGCGCTGGTTCAGAGGACCGTTGCAAAAGATCAATAAGGGCGTGTCCATCCGCGCCGAACAATCTATATGCCTGAAAAAAAAAATTTTTCAGTTAACATAGAACATTTATAGTAAATGTCTCATCGTCGTCATCAACCCAGTTACGTCCTTAATGCAGGAATCCGGAACCGTTAAGGAGGTTGGGCTGTAACACTCCACGCTGGCCCAATGCGGATTGCAAGGTAATAATGACTACAAATTCACCCGGGACCAATTGCTTAACGTACCTTTCGAAGCAGGGAGGAGCTCAAGATAATAATTTTGTAGTCACCCATCCCGTGATTGATCCTTGTGAAAGTTGCTTACTATGCCACTGAACTACTCTAAAAAATGTTGCACCAACCTCTAGAACCTACGAAAAAATGTTTCCCGTGCCGATGACGTCATACTAATTAGTTCGCAGCTTGGATAAAATATAGCGAATGATAGATGGAACTACAAAACGTTGCCATTCTACAGATGTATCTACAGAGGCAGCGGTGGACCTCGAGATGCAAAGGCAAGGCCACCCTCAAAGTCGAAATAAGAGAATTTTGCGATATTTCAATGTATACAATACAATGCTTCAGTTATAGTTGTGATTGTATACAAAATAGTGGTGTACTGATTTTTATGATAAACTGTTTTTTATTCAAAAAGCTAACAATTTTAGAAATACCTAACTCTTTTGCGCCATTAGAGGAGCTTGCAAAGTGTGCAGGGCCCACATTAAATTTAGTTCTTACGTTTCCACAAAACATCTGAGTAGAAACGTTTATATGCAACAGAAAATTTGTTACGTGTATTGCGTTTATTACGCCTGGTGCCAATGGTCATTACCCATTTAGTTCATCTGATATAGAAAACTAAGGGAAAGCTTATATGCCTCAGCGATGGGGAATTTAGGTCGATGATGGAACTGACCTTGGGGTAATTATTTTTTATTATATAAATTAAGCCATTAAGTTGAAAGACGGCGTCCTTCACTAATCTGTCATAGCCAAGGCCCGCTACAAATTACCATACTATTTGAAAGACATGAACTACAATTACTATTAATTATGGATTGTAACATGTGTCCTATATCAAATATCGATTTTAGAAATACTACCTATAACTCGTATGAATTGTCGAAATGTAGTCAATTTTCGAAATGCTTATATCAAATATAATATGCCTACATCGAAGACTACCTTATTTTGTAATGTCAAATACAAATGTTGTAACATTATTGAAAATCAAGATAGATTTATTATAATGATAGTCTAATGTTATCATCACTTTATCACGTCTAACCGTAATCAATGTACTTTTTTCTATCGATAATCGCGATAGTAACACATTTAACCTATAATAAGTTTTACTGGAACTAATAACTGATCTGTAAATAGTGTAATACGTTGTCATGATAATAACATAAAAAAAAAATAAGTTCAAATAACTCAAACCCGACTTCAGCCAAATTACGCTCCAAAAAGTTTAAAACAAAAAAAATATATAGCTATAACTATATTATAAAAGCGATGAGCAAAGTACAGCGTATTCGTATGCCACTTAACAAAATAAGCTGTAGCATACGCCTAAAAAGACGCTTCTAATTACGGTAAGAAGTTTCGAATTTACGAGTACTAGTACGAGTCTCTTTCACGATTTATGTACGGCATTTTGTCTTTGTACTCTTAATAAACAGCACCCTTATCAATTCCAGTTGAAGGCTATTTTTATTTATATTGCGTAGTGTTGTAGTGAATGACTCACTACTAAATCTTCAATATAGTCAATTTATATTGAGCGTCATTATATTTGGATTAATTTGTAACATCCACTCTCATCTGGGTCTCTTTTTTCAATTTTTCAATCACAATGCTAGTGCATGTATACCAAAGCGCCTTTACTAGTAAAGTCATCCATATCCGAGAACGGAGAGATCTATTGAGAACTCACCGTGAGTGTAAACGGTGCAACTATTTCTCTTCAAGGTCCGGCGAGTCTTCTCGGCGTGAGTGTGTACCGCGTAACTAAAACACTTCCTAAGTTATTGGTACAAGTTTTTACAGTACATTCTTACCATAGGTGCCTAACTAATATAGACGGAGAGCTTGTGAATAAAATTTGCAAGGGCTTTCTGAGCCTCGACATTGCAGTATGTTGAAGAATACTAAGAGCATACATTGTGCGGAGGTCAGGCGCTGGAACTATATTATTTCCTTTGCCAATACCATCTATATTACAGTAAGCTGCATAAACATACGCAAATATTTTAACTAATACCAGCTATCTACAGTAATCTTGAAACTAATAAAGATTTCTTGAAGCACATGCAAACACCTTATTTCCTATGCCTATTCATTAATTGATCAGATATAAAAATAAAAAAAATTGTTGTAAAAAAAATATGAAACGTTTTTTTCGTCTCCTGTAAAATCGACTTTTTGTAGATAGATGGTCTTGGTTCTTAAGCGTCGATATGTTGCATATATGACGTGGTCGGTAAAGCGCCTTAAGTACCTAAGTGGGCGGTTAGTAGGTGCGCGACGGATGAGAGTGCAAGTTTGAATGTCACCACCATCATCACCAAGCTATTAATGTCCCCACTTCTGGGGCTCAGGTCATCCCTATGGATGGAATCGATTCAAACCAAATAAGGAGAATAGGCTATGACTCATCACGTGGGCTAACAACCGTAGATTCGGCTGGGACCAACGGCTTAACATGCCTTCCGACGCACGGAGGAACTCGAGATAATAATTTTATGGTCACCCATGCTAATAAAAACCGAGTCAGAGCGTTTTGAAAGGTAGTAAAAACGTTATTTTTTATTCACCAATCAGTTTACATTGAAACACATTAGTTACAATCTAAACTGACACACAAACATTAACTTTTATTGCAAACGTTCTACAATCATAAAATATGACATATTTCGTGATCATATTTTCAATAAATGTTTTAGCGCGTTTTGTAAGTAGATCGATAAATTAAGCGACGCATCTTCCATCCCATATGTACCGACCATTAAGCCTATTAATGTCTTCATTGCTTAAGTACAGGTCTTCAGCATGGAAAAAAACAAACGGAGAAAGGGCTATATACCATCCACCACGTAGGTATGGACGTATCTATCTAGATGCCTCTCCTTGGAAAATGTAACTGCGTTTTCCAAGGACGTGGCTAGCTATAAATTCGGGTACAGACAAAACGTGCTTTCCGAATCAGTAACTCGAAAAACATTTTGGGTACACATCTGACGACTATAAGTTGGTGAACCACTGCATATTCTAAATACGTTTTACCAAATCAACTGACCGGAGTCATCTGGTGAAAACAGAATGGTAAACAAGACATTTTATCAATTGTTTACAATTTATTTCATATTAAAATCACAAAAAATATACTTTTAATTTGTTTACTAATGACACAAAATTGTCATAATAAAACACCTAGTTAAAAACATCGTTAGCAGATAAAGTGACATACTTAGTTGACTTACTTTTTAGAGAAGCGATAAGTCTATTATTAAATTATTCAACCATATGTACATTGTTTTAGGGTCTATTATCCTTCTCTTGTTATTTATTAAGCTAAGAAATTTACTAGAGCTAGAACTGCAATAACTATTCCGTTTTTACTTTGTTTTAAATTATCTTTTAAAGAGGAAAAAACAATTATAATTTAAATTAAATTTATGCAAATCAGTATTTAAAATCGTTTTGTTTTGTTGTCCCAAAATCTTTATGGCTGGTGTGAAGGGCCAGATTGTACTGGCCATGTATAATTGTCTATTGATTTTAAGGTTCAAAATAATTTGACTAAAATTGATTTTACCTACCCCCTTACAATCAACTTTCAAAGAAAAACAAATAAGTCTGTTTGATTAATTAGATATTTTTGTTTTAAATACTGAATATATTATTTCCTTTGTATACAGGCTTAAAATCATTCGCTGTTTACTTGTATTTGTTTATTTTTTATGAATATAGTGTGTGATTAGTAATTCAAGAGGAACATTTATATGTATAATATCACATGGGCGAAGCCGCTGGCGGAAAGCTGGTATGTTATAAATTAATACGCAGTTTTAATATATTGATTGATACTGATCTTATTAAGAACTTGTTTGTCATGATAATGAATTAACCTATTAAGGTTTAAAATTGCCGTATGTGTATTCATTTCTATAATTTACCAAAAAAGCATAAAACTCTACTGAATATCTATGGGCTAGTAGCATTATTTGTATTTTGTAACCATCGAAATCATAATTAATATATAAATAATACCTCTTTGTGACCAGGTATAGTGACTTTTCCAACGTCTTGACTCAATTTGATTCGAGGTTGTCCATTAATTTCTACCAATTTGTAAACGCATCCGAGTGCTGGCTGGCGTTGGCAGGTAACTAAAATGCGTATTTTATTTAGTTGCTGTTCTCAATAATAATAAGTATACGATTAATCAAAAACAAATAATATTACCAAGATGTGTTCCGATTCCGAAACAATCTATCTTATGTCCTTGTTCGTTTAAACTCAATATTGTTTCTTCGTTTATGTCGTTGGAGGCCACGATTGTTAGTTTTGAGAACCAGGGTAGTTTAAATGCTTCTGCAATCTGCTCGAAGGATTCTCTTGCCAACACTGATAGATAGGCTAAATCTCCGCTGTCTATACGAATGCCGACCGCTCTATAACCACAGTCGTTTAATGCTAAGGCCACCGCACAGAAGTTGAGCAAACCACTCCTGTTGACAATTATATGATTAATCATTCAGGATAATAACGTGCGAATAAGGATTCTTTGAATTTATCAAGCCAAGTTATATATTAAGGACTGTATCTATACTAATATTACAAAGAGAAAAGATTTCATTATTTGTTTGTTTGAATGGAATAGCCTACGAAACTAATGACCTGATTAAAAAAAAACACTAACGGGTAACTACATCATACACGCGTGACATAGGCTATAATTTACGCGTGCGAAGTCACGGGGCAATAGCTATTATTTATATGACAATTGGAGGACAATGTCATTTTTCTTAATTCAAAATCATCCATTGAGAGTAAAAACTAAGTACATAACATTGAGAAAATTTTGTTAAATACAAACTGGATACAACAAGTATCAGCAAGTTGTTTACAAGTACTAAATAATAAATTCAGTACTCGAAAACAAAAAAATACATAGTAGACCAAATACCAAGATATATTTATGCTGAATATATTGATTCAAATCTGTGGAACGAACATTATATATTTTACTGTTAACATTTTACATTAAACTATCACAAATATCGGTGTTTTATTACTAAGCGATAGCACAAAATCTAACTAATAGCCAGTTACTTTAACAAAATCGTGACTTGTGTTAGTTAGTAAACAGATAAATAACTATTATTATCTTTCACACAGGGAATAAATTCACTCAAACCCAGACATATGTCACTAATAATACGAGTATCTAGGCAGCATTTTACACTTAATAGGTAATATCAACCAAGTTCTACATTTTGTAACTATTGACTCTAGGCAAAAGAAGATAAGGATTGGAAAGGTACTCGATTAATTCCAGTTATAGATAGGTAGGTTAGTTCCACAACACATTATGAGATATTGACGTTCAAAGTTATAGGTGCATAACAAGATAAACAGCTACTTTGTAACGGTACATGCTCAACTAATTAATTAAATATCTGCTCGCTTTCGGTGGTAAAACAAAATTACAATTGATGTGATGTCATAAACAGTGAATACAAAAGCTATTTAACATTAATGTTTAAATTATAACATTTAAGTGCTACTACTCTAATTCTACATCACTAAAAGCTGTTAACAAATATGAAAGTAAAACTACAAAATATAAGTTAGAATGAGTGACCCCCTATATCGTTCAAACTGCAATCAAAGTTTGTGCATGCAAAGAATATATGTGCCCATGAGCTATCCCAATACAATGCAACTGTGCCCAATGACTATAATTGTCCCTATTAACGGTCACAACTTTAGGACAATACGTCACACTGAAGCAAATGTAAGTTTCGACTGTGTTTATGTTTATTTACATTTGTTTAAACATGAAACGCGCCGTCCGTATGCATTTCAGTTAATGAATGTTATAGTGGGCCGATGCTGAAATCGGTGAGTTCGTGCTAACGTCATCGACATGTTTCAGGACCGATGCGAGTTATTTCATACCCATCCCGACGTTGATTATGTATAATGAACCGGACGCATGCCAGCTTTTATTCAAATAAATCTAATAAATCGAAACTCCACAAAACTTAATAGACATAAATGAACAATGCAAAACAACAAGTACATGTTATCAGACACCAAAATGTCAATGTGAATTGTCTATTTGCATTTTTACCTCAGTGTGCGTTCGACAGTGCTATATCCATATGTACTATGTATCGGTGATTTTAGTAGTCTAGTATCATTGGATCCACAGTTGCTATTGTAGCCAGAATGCCCATTCATATGCTGCCTGTGTCGTGATGGTAAGCCTTGAATATTATACCTCTTCACATCGTAAGTATCCACTAGTGCCAAGAAACCTGTTGGGAAGGCTATGGCGTATGAGATAAGTGCAGCTAGTTCGCCGTCGCTGGCTTCTTCGGGCGAAATATCAACTATGGCGGATACTTTGATACGCCACTGGGTCGACAATTCTAGTAAATTGTATGGGGCTTGCGTCTCCGAGTGCCTCAATGTTACGGTATGTATGTCGTCCAAAGTACTGAATGACGTCACAAAAGAATGTGCATGTGTCCCCCTCACTGGTATGTTGAACATTTTTCCAGCTAACACATTGCTTGTCCCATCAAAACCGCCTGGAAATAATTAACGTGTTTAAAGAACGAATCTATCGTTATAAAGCCGCATAGTTATACAGGCGCAACTGATAAATTGCTGTGACAAGTAAAACGCTGTCTTCCATCAACATCTACCTATATCTTAACAAATTTTTAATAGAAAATGAAAAACAAAATAAAGACGTTAAAATTGTTTTGTTTTGTTTGATTAATTTGCAGATTATCAAGTGATTTCAATATGTATATAATTAATCAAGATCTTAATCCGCCCAAAGGTAACCGTAAAGTCCAATTAGTAAACATTGTATACCAAAGCAACGATATCAACTGGTTTCTTTAACAACACACAAAGCAGGCTCAGTTTGGCAAAGCGGTCACTTATTTATCGTATAAGATTTCACGAGAACATGTATGTCGGTATGTTATATTTAACTCTATCCGCAAATTTTTTCTATATTTCAAAAGTACTTTAATATATCTTCTATTATTACTGATTGTAATATATTTATAACTGTTATACCAGTATTTGATTTGACAATTCGAAAATTATAATACATATATTAGTTATTCTGAATTTTCACAGCATAAAATACAATATTCATGTGGGCATAATTTTGTAAAAGGACATTTCGTAATCGATATACAATCTAGTAATTTTACAAAAGGGCCTAAACGATTAAAATATTGAAACAAAATTTAACGAACCAAAGATTGAGTCGAATTGTTCAGTATATATTTTTTTTGTAGAATGCAATTAGACAATAGAATAGCTCCATTTGATTAAATAGTCAAATCCAATTTATCTTCTTGATATTATGTCACTCCATTTGTGTAGATACAATGTAAAGAAACTTAATAACCGTACCTAGTACTGTCTATGAAAGTTGATATATTTCGCAGAAGACAAAGTTTGATAATAGGCAAAGCCAAGTGATCTTTCAAGGGCACGACTGAAACTTGCCTGATTAAAGCTATTAAATAAAAGTGTATTCTAGCTATTGGAAGCTTTTTATGAGTCAGTGGCGTGGTGTTATATCGCACGAGTTTGGATAGGCGGGTAGTGCCTGGCACCGTTCAGATCGTACCACCTGAGGGGCTGCGGTATCGCGATACCACAATCAATATAATACTTGCAAACAAGTTAATTTCCACTGTGACACAAAAGAAAATACTTTATACGGAAATTGAATTACTGCTTATAATGGCTCTCCTTAAGCAAAACAAAGTAAAAAAAAAATCTTTTAAATTATGCAATTCCTACATAAATAAAAAATTAACTTTTCTCAAATTATATAATTTCGATACTTAAACATATAATTGCGTAATTTTATAAATTATCTTACAAATATTATAAAGGCGAAAGTTCGTAAGTTTGGATGTTTGTTGCTTTTTCACGCAAAAACTACTGAACGGATTTGGACGAAATTTGGTACTCTAGGCCTGGATTAACTAATATTATTTATCCCACTTCCCTAGGAACCACGCGAGTGATGCTACTGGTAGAAAGCTAGTATTAATATTTTTGTTACTTAACAGCACAATAAAAGGCCTTTATGCTAAAGGTAATAAAACGTTAGTTGATTAATAAGGTGAATAGGGCAATATATTAATAATTAAAGTAATCGAACGAAAAGAAAGTAACAAAACAAAAAAAAACAAAACAGTTTTCATTCGTAAATTATAATATCCTATTTGGTATGGTCTAGCTTCTCGATGGGTGCGATGGCCCTATGTGATATCTCTTATATTAATCAGATTACAGCTGAAAATTATCTTACCCATCCATGCGTTGATATTACATATTTGCAAAAAAACTATAAAAATGACTAGACTATATCTTGGGAATTATGAAAACGTAAATTCAATTATTATAACAAGTACATTGGTAACACATATTAAGTGGTACCAAAAATAATTCAAATCTCCGTTTAAAACCCTTCTCATGACATAGCCAAAGTTTGAAAATAACCATTTGCTATCCATGGACGATAGAGGAGGGGATATATATACAATAAATTTTAGACATAAAAATATTCATTAGGTCATTACCTATGTAAGCATATTTAGATGCTGACAGTCCACCATCAGGTCCTTGTGCCCTACGTAATCCAAACTCCAGTAGCGAAACGGTTTTTCCCGCCACCATCCTGTATCGTGCTGCATTAGTTGCCATTAAACTATAACAAAGTTATATTCATCATTTTCTTATTATAATTCCTCGCATACTATTTACCTTTGAACTGGTGTGTGAGTAATTTATAGAATATAGGCATAAGCTTTCAATCAGTGTAGCTTTTTGAATTTTTTTGATAACACATTCACTAAAAATAAATATTTTTTTATATCATACTTCAATTTCTGTATAATCCGTTATTCCATACAATACCTAGGTAATGAATATGTTATGGACCAGGTGAAAAATGCGGGCATTACAAATATTGTGCGAGCATCATTAATAATGTGCGAGTATTATGAATAATGTTTAGCTCTATCGGACAAAGTGATTAATTTCTATCTAAACTTCATTATCAGATTGCACGCTCAAATTTTTTTTCTATTAAAAATAATTTTATTTTTTTAACCTCCCGGCACCGCGTCATATTTCCCAATTTTCATGTGGCAATGTGAAAATGAAGTTAAGATAGAAATAAATCACTTTGTCCGATAGAGCTAAACATTATTCATAATACTCGCACATTATTAATGATGCTCGCACAATATTTGTAATGCCCGCATTTTTCACCTGGTCCATAACATATTCATTACCTAGGTATTGTATGGAATAACGGATTATACAGAAATTGAAGTATGATATAAAAAAATATTTATTTTTTGTGAATGTGTTATTAAAAAAAATCCATAAAGCTACACTGATTGAAAGCTTATGCCTATATTCTATAAATTACCCACACACCAGTTCAAAGTAAATCCGGAGAATATGGTGTGTGTATAATAATTTCAAAGCAAGTATCAGCGCAATTTCAATACCAATGAGCGGGAGCGTTGTCGTGAAGAAGCTTGCTTCTTGCACGAGGAGGCAAAATGTATCAATAGGTTAAGACCTATTTTTCATCAACTGCGTCGCGCTTATTTGCGATTAAACATGTATAATTCTGCTCCGTAACCGACTGTGCATTCGGCATGTAATAAAAAAAACTTCACTATCCCATAGCAGACCATAATCTTGCCAGCGTATGAGCCACTCGAAATTTCTTTATGAGCGTAGAGGATAGTCGTTTCTAAATGTTTTTCACACAAAGCACGTCAGGACAAGAAAGAGACTTTTTCAAAAACGTCGATATTAATATTTGCATTTATTACTATTAATAACTGTATTACCATATTACATATGCCTAATTATTTATCAATATCGTGCCTAGCTAATCACATTTATTTTGTAGTAAAGTTATCTAGATACCAATTTGCGTCATCAGTAGCAATTAAATGAAGCAGTCTAGTGTGAACGGCTGAAAACCGATTAGTAGTAGGCGTTTTGGAATTTCATGAGGCACATAATCTAAGGTTAATAAATAAATGATGCTATCTCATTGGATGCTAAAGCGGGTGCAAGACGAAACTATTGACAGTGTATCGAACGACGTCTACACATATATATTTCCTTTAAATCGTCGTGAGTGTTTAAATAAAGGCGACGTCTGGTCGCTCCAATTGAAGGTAGACTTTAGATTATGTTTTTCTTTACGTTTGAAATATAGTTTGACATCTTTGATTAATCACTCTACCGGAGATATAGTTATGACATCATTAGATTATTAAATCATCAAAAATATTAACTTGCAGGGAAAAAAGACGAATTACGTAGGAAGTTAAAACTACTTGTTATATTAGCTTTTGTCATTGTTTTACAGATGTTCCAGTATTAAATTTATTTATTATTATAAATTCTATTTAATAAATATCTTAAAGAATGAGGCAAGTTACATGAAGACGCATAGTGCCAAAACAAATTCCATACTTCGATGGGCGCTTTTCGATTTCGATTCGATACAGTTTATTTGATGATAAAAAGATTATAATATTTGATTAAATTTGCATTTAATGTAACGATGTTATACTGGAAAACTTTCTCAATGTAAAATGGTTAAAAAATTTACCACCAGCCCAGCCCCGAACTAGTTATTTCGCAATCTAATAAGCATTTTCATTAAGGTTAAAAAATATGTATATATTAAATGCGGCCCAGACTCTATGCGAAATTGTTGTCATTTGCGAAATATTAACGTGATAAAATTATAGGTTAAAATCAAATAATCTATAACTACTAATATAATAAACAGGAAAATATTGAATTTATTAAAAACTGCAATGAATAAACACTGGAACTATGAAAGAAATACCTACTCTTTATTGTACACACGCCATATGTAAGGACAAAACATGATAGTATAACAGACTGTACAATTGGCAGCCCTATTGCTAAAAAGCAACCTTAACATGACATACAGGATACACTTAAAGATTGGGTAGTAAGTGGCACAGAACACAGTGGTCAGTGGTATGGTCAGTGATAGGGACTTTTTAGATTACAAAATCTAAGAAGTCCCAATCACTTACAATATCTATTAAATCAATATTAACAATTCTTTCTACAATGGAAAGCTACATCATTTGACGTAGCCTATAATATACACAGACGGTGTCGCTTAAAAACAGCGAGTACATAATATTCATAAGGATATATAAAAATTCTAAAAAAAAAAGAAAAGAAGTACACAATAAGAACAAAAAATATGTTCTCTTGCATATAAATATTATAACTTAATTACATACTATTAATGAATAAGAAACATCAAAACCTGTAGTCCAACTAATAAAATTTTCGTCATTATTAGGTATTACTAGCTTACCTTGCAAAGTTAACCAGGGTCAATAAGGTTGTCTCTAGCAATTGAGCAATTATTAATGGACCTTCTACTCTTAACAACGGTACTCTGAAACAAAATTGTTTTATTAATTGAAGTAAACTAAGGTTTAAGATTAGAATGTTTTTAAATACTATACCTTGGAAAAACTACAGAGCCCTCTTCTATGGCGCACAATTTTATATCTTTACAAGTTAAATCTTTAAGGTATGCAAAAAATTCAGGCTCAATATTATCTGGTAATGTTTGTTTCAAATATCCAATATCTGCAAGATAACAATTATTGTAAATAATATTCTTAATGTACATACATAATATCAGAATAGTAAAGGCATTAAATACAATTAGGATCTTTACATGTCCCTAAAAATAAAAGTGCATCAAATGAAAATGAAATCAAAGCAGTTTCAATTTAGATTAAATAAATGAGTTTGAAGTTCCACATAAAAAAATAACAGTCTAAGTGAAAAAAATTATGCAGAGATTTATTATTACATTAATTAAAAGATTATTTCAAGAAATATTTCTTCACTGTATCAACTGAAATCAACATAAGTTTTTTTTGTATACATAATTATGTAAATGACACATCTGTCTGCTAATTTAATTTTTAGTCATTATAAAATCATTTTATGTCCTGAGTCACATTCTTCAGATATGTCATTTAACTCATATCATTGCTAATAAAGAAAGACTTAAATCTACTATGATCAAGTTCTATTGTATTATACAAAAGAAAATGAATGGCTGCAAATAATATAACATAAAATTTTCATATAATCTAAGATTAATCTAGTCCAGGAGTGGAAAACTGTGGCTAGCGAGGCCATATCCAGCTCTAAGAAGGGTTATTTGTAGCTTCCAATTAATGTTGAGTACCCTTTTCATTATTTGATCAATTTTGCATTCATAAAGTTATAGTGAAAAATATTCTTAATGAAAAATGATTAAAAATCGACTTTGTCCCTGGCACTCATGCCTTGACCTTTCGCAATCCGGGCAACCGCTCTAACCACTGAGCTATAGTCCTGGGGGACCTAAAGAACTGAGAAATTTTTCATGTATTTGTTACTTTTTTGCTACTACAGCGCATATTTTCAATGTTCAAGCAATCCAACTAAACTGTAACTTTCAGTATATTCTCTTTGAAATGTTTTTAATTGCAGCTCATGGAAAATTTCATATGTTGAAAAATGGCTCAGACTGTAAAGGAGCCAGCCACCCCTGTTCTACACATTAGTTGATCTAATTTTTAATTTGTATGTAATATATATTGTACTATAATGATATACATAGTTAAACTTAGCTTGGCTTAGTGATATAATATTTAAGGTATTTAGCAGGTATTGATTTGTGGTCTTATCTAACAGATTTGATGTATTTATTTGAAGTGTTAGGTTTTTGCTGCAAGTTAAATGCTCTCTGTTTATTGATATAGATATTGAAATCATAAATGTACAAAAGAGTTCACTGAAAACACCAAAATAGAATATACTATAACCAACCTCATTTCAAACTTAAATGATTATAACTACTGCTTTTGTTAAAATGTTATTCTAATAACAAAAGTTGTTATGATTTCTATTGAATTATTATATTAGATATTGTCATTATTATTTTAATGATCAAATAAATTAAGTATGTATTGTACTATATAATAAATAATGACATACCACTGTCTGAATAATGGAAATTTTCTAGAAATTTGAGACATTCTTCAAGTCCAGCAAATATAGTGAATTCTCCCTGAAACGGATTGGTTCGGAAGAATAAATCAAATACTGCTACATCATTTACTTTTCCTGATTTCCAATATGCATAAGCCATGGTGATTTGATAAAGATCTGAAACACAATCATCAGAGTCAAGAACTATCATTTATATATTAGTCATATTGGGTTAATAAAGTATTTAATAACAGCATATAGTTATTTTTTAAATAAAATATGTTTAATATTGACATGAATAAATTATGAAATAAATTTATAACAAAAGTACGTTCAATAATAATGATATTTTGATACACAGGACACATGTAAAAGTAAATAATGTCTTCACATGAGATCATTTATCACTTTACCTGACCAAGTAGGTCAGTAAGTAATAGGTAAGGTAGGAACTAAAACAATTGAATGCTGTTTATTAATTTAAACTTCGCTCCTACTCAAGTGATTTTAATTTACTAAAACGAACTCACCAGTCAGTAAAGGTTGCACAATACCATTTTGCCGTGCCATTTTTATCGTTGAAGTTAATTCTTCATTAGACATTATTGCTGCTGTTAGATTTCCAATAAATGACTCGAATATGAAGTACGTCAGTAATGAACGATATCTGTTTGGCGACTAAAAAAAGTAAATTCATGGTGATCAACAAGGTCCGTGTATTCAGCTTATCAGCGCGCCAAACTATTTGACATAAAATAAAATTTAATTTTACGCATGCGCACTCTTTCAGCTATTGACTACACAGCAAAAGGTCACTTTTGAAGGTCGTTAATATCCATACTTGACCTCTTCATTATTTTTTTCACTTTTTCAGTTACTGATAAATGTAAAGGTAGGTACACAAGACACAATTCAGCTTTTTGCTCAAAAATGCAAAGAACCAAGTAGTGTAGTAAATTCAGTAAACTTAACAAGACCGAACCCTTGATATCGATAGATCGAAATAAAAGTATCGATGAGAAAGTAAGTCTTAATTTATTTAACAATTTTATTCACTTGTTAATATTTTAAGTTGTTATTTACACCAGCGCTGGGCCAAACAGCATGTCTTGCGGCGGTACCCCTGAGTACATAATATTTTTGTTTCTTAAGACAAATAAAAATTATCAAAATTGAGAAGAGTCTTACAAATATCTGACTTTAGCTAAGTTGTACTACTATAATGTTGCGCTTGCGAGAATGATTCGTTTCACGCAGTCGTCTATTACAGCGCGTGATGTTGTGTGACCAAGTGAAGCACATCGTATTCCATTATATTTTATTTTTTTATCTACAGTATTGTTTTGATTACAAATATGTCTACATATATCATGAATTGTGTTGCCCCACAAAGCTTCATGTTTTTATCTTAGTAACAAAAAAAGTAAACAGGAAAGCACTCATATCTTTAAGGCATAAATACATAGATATTGTGCGTAACAATCACGCGATCTGTTTGAGGTACAAAAATTCAATTTTGAGAAGGGGTAATCGGGACTTTTAAATTTTATTATATCGAATAAAAGGTATGCCAGGTGTAAATGTCGACGTGATTCCATATTCAATATTAATTCATTGTAAAGAAATGAAGAAATATGAGAATGTGATGGAGAAGGTGGTAGGTATTTAAGTAATTAATCAAAGCTAAAGACATACGAACGATCTTCATTTCCAAAACACGAACGTTCTCCATAACAAGAACACGAATGTTCTCCAATACCAGCACACGAACGTTCTTCAAAACGAAAATTCTTGCAAATATAGGACACAAACGTTCTTGCAAATTTTGCTTCCGTTTTGGTCACAGTTCTAACCTAATCTAACCGGCGGTTGAACATAGGTCCCTGTTAACGTTCACTTCGCTGACTTTTTGTTTTGATTACAGTCCTAACCGAACCTAACCGATTGATTGGACAGTCGGTTACGTGCCCTGAAGGGGCAACAAACCTTCATCGGAGCGACTGCCCCCTTTTTTTTTGGCTCTCAACCTTAGGGGTTCGTAGCAACCCTCCCAGCGGGGGAAGGAGGCGGTGAATACCACACAGCCGGCTGTGAGGTTATATAAGACTTCTACTGCCTAAACATCGCCTTGGACAGCTGGTTACACCAGCTGTCAGCCAGATCGGCCAAGCCAAAGGATGGATTGTGGGAGGTTTGGGAAACGTAACATGTTATTAGTGCTTATGATAAGGCACTTAATAATGCTTCGGGTTCGCAAAGCGCCAGAAGGCGTTCTTGCGTGGACGAAGCGCGGCGCAGCCCAGCCGCTAGGGTGGAGATTTCATTTATGTCGATTCCACGAATCAAGTTAAGAACTAGATTTATGTCATCGGCTATAGATGAAGAAACAGGGGCGGTTTTGGGAGGTAAGACAGCAGCCTTTGGTGAGGGCTTCGTCTGAGAGGGTTTCGGGGGGGGGGGGGGGATATCGGTTGAGGACCCAAACCGATTTGGGAGCGGAGTGATCGCCTTTGGTAAGGCGGGGAAGTTCGCCGCAGTCCCCCTAAATATTAGTCCATAGATAGTAGTACATAGTACATAGTAGTCCATCTAAAACGGGGGGCTTTAGATGCTTTGTTGACCGCCGGGCCTTTGCCCTTCTTCTTAATACACAGGCCGGAGGAGTGAGAGTGTCTCGAGTTCGAGAGCACTTCTTTATGGGATGTGATTCGAGGCACTTTACGCACCTCGGAGTCGCGGAACAGTTGGCCGCCGCATGCCCATAAAGCTGGCATCGGTGGCACTGTCCCGGGGTACCGCGTCGATGAGGGGGTTCTACTTTAACCCCGGTAAGGCCGCAGACCTTAAGGTCTTTAGCCTTGAAAATGTCGCGAGCTTTAGATCCTTGTGGTCCAGATAGGTGGCGAGTTCGTATGGAACATTTCTCAGAATCGCACGAACTTTACGCTCCTCTGGGAGAGCGTAGGTATGGTAACCCACCTTGTGGTGGGTTAGAAGTCTAGTGAGGGTTCTATAGTCCTCACTAGTGGGTGTTTCCACCCGGATAGCTATGTTTTTGGCATGGGTGTAGTTTATCTTGTTTGATGTGCAGAGATTCAAGACCTCTGCCCATATTGATTTGTCCCGTATGAATACGGGAGGCGGAGGTTTGGGTTTACCCATTTTTGGAGCGCATTTATTATGCGGCCGCAGCAGGGTGAGGGAGGGAGTAATACTAGGAGTATTCTCCCGAGTGGCTGTCTTGCCGGTATTGCCTCTGGTAAGGTTTGGGCCTAGGGAGGCTTTCTCGGCGATATTGCTTACCAAGGACACCCCGCCCGAAGTGCGGGGCTTGGGGGTGACGTTGTCCGAGGAAGCATCCGCACTTGCTCTAGGGGAGCGTGGCTTACGACGCTTCCTTCGGCTTCGTACCGTATGAAAAGAGTTGGTAGATTCGTTGGAATCAAACGTCCTGAGAAGGTCGTCGTCCGACAGCAAAAGGGGGGTGGGTGGGGGGAACGCTGTGAAGCGGTCCTCTTTATGGATGTGCTTACGCACTCCATGACTGAATTTGAAGGGGGCAGTGATGCCTGGGATGCCGACATCGCCGCGCGAAGGATGACTTGGAAGAGGCTATCAGGCAGGATTCGCTGTAGCTCATCGAGGGAGTATCCTTTATCAGACATATCGGCAATGCAAACCGTTATATGTAAGAGAGAGAGAAGAGTAGTTGTATTTCACTCGTACTTTTCTCCGTCACACCACCCTGGTAGGTTAGAGGGAGATAGGGCGAGTGTGCAAAAGGCCAATCCCGCGCCGGAGCGAGGGGGGAAGGGGGACGCGGAAAATGCGGCTATCCCTAATGGAATTAGCGGCAAACCTTCACCCTTGGGACAAGGTGCACTGGGATCGGGTCTTCGGTGTTGCTAAAGCCTGAGGGGCCTTAGCGAGCGCACCGGGATCGCTCAGCCGGCTTAGTTGCCACCGTATGCTATCCACCGACTCAAGAAGTTGAAAGTGAGTCAAGTCCTAATGTTTTAATGTTTTGAAAAAAAAAACAAAAGTAGCAGGGCCTGCGCTCGGGGTGTGCAGAAGGCACGAGATGTACTCACAGAGTGGGTAGAAGAGAGTCGTGTACGCGCACGGGGGCGCGCAACGAAAGCTGAGAGCTACATGGCATATTACTTATACAATCTAACAATATAAACTGATACCGCGATACATTAAATGAACAACGCCATCTAGTTTGTAGACTTAGACCTATTCAGTCACTTATGAAGATGATGAGTATGTTACATATAAGTATCTTTGTCATAACAATATTCAAACAATATTGTCGCAAACTTGAAATTTCATATTTAACATAACAATTTTGCAGCGACATTGTCACAAACTTGCCTCGTATATTTGACGCAGCAATTTAGAATCAAAGAAAAATCAAACTTGCCCTATGTTAGCTAGGCACAGAGCGTAACCGACCACTCCTTTGGCGATCTCGCAGAGAACCTGTCTCTTTGTACCGCTGTATTGTGTAATAGACGAGGTTACGGCTCACAAGAAAACTTTACAGCTCGCGGGAAACCTGTAGCAGTTTTTTCCCGCCTTAAATAGCGAAATGACAGTTGCACGTATTTTTTTTATTTGGCTTGCACTATTTGTGCTTAACTTTGTCAAAGTTTGGGAAACGGAAACGAAAGGAAAGAGAAGTTGAAACGGATTTTTAATGGTATAGGTTCAGAAGGTTTGGGAATGAGGAAGTAGGTATTTAAAAAAAAGGAAGCACTAAATAAGCACCTCCACTAGATTGTGATTTTTGCAGGAAACGAATGGACTATAGACAGTAATTTCCGTTCCTTTTAACTAACATATAAAAAAATTGTAATTTGAAAAGTTCGAAACTTAGATATCAATTCAAATACGAATAAGTAGGTACAAATAGAATATGAGTTGTTTATTGAGTTTTGAAAACTAATTTATTTTAAACCGGAAATGTTGTCATAGAGAAATCAATAACGTACCGTAACGACATCTAGTTTGATTTCGGGAGCTAATGTTTTTTTTTGTTAATACTTCCTCATTGATATCTGGAAAGGGGCACGGAGGGACAAATGTCATTAAGGAAGACCGTGCGATCGTAACGTATATAAGCAAAAAAGATGTGGTTTTTTGATCTCCAGTACCCATCCCACATTTGCAGGTAGCATCGCTAATGATCGAATAAGTCAGAGCGAATACAGAATGGGAATTAAAAAAAAAGCATTGAGAGAGCTCCTGGCATCGTTGAAAATCATCGTATTCTTAAGTTTCAATAGTAGTTCGTATTTTACATCTTTTAATAGACCCAAAACATAATCTGTAAGGACGGATGACTTTGGAGGAAGCTTTATTTTTTGTGAAATATTGTACCAATACCAATGCATTTTGTAAAAGTGGACTTGGAAGCATAGCTAAATACATGAAAATTAATTATAATTTGCATCAATTGCAGATTTAAATGTAATGTTCGCGTTGTTATCATCTTTAACAATTAAATTACAGGATAAAGTTGTAAAGCATCAAAATTAACGCTAAATATAGGGAGACAATTGGATCGATGGGTAGGAGAAAAAAAGATAAATATATTTGATAACTTATTATCAAGCAAGGATGTGACTTATGGGGACAATATTTAGTAGTTTCGATTTCTATATTCAACGACTC